TAGTTGTATACTTTTAGTTGCGGGTCCTTCTAGTTGTGGCATGTGGGATGCCACCTCAGCATGGCTTGATGAGCAGTGCTATGTCCGCGCCCAGGATCCGAACTGGTGAAACCCTGAGCTGCCGAAGCGGAGCACACAAACTTAACCACTTGGCCACGGGGCTGGCCCCCTGGGGGTCGCTTTTATAAAGGCACTAATCCCGTTCTGAGGGCTCCACTCTCACGACCTCATCACCCCCAAAGGCTCGACCTCCTAATACCATCACCCTGGGGATTAGGATTTCAACGTGAATTTTGAGGTGACACAAACATTCAGTCCGTAACAGGGGGCTACCTTTGTATGTTATTTATTCATTCTGTCTTCTTCCTCCACTAGAGTGTATATCAAAGCAATAATGGTGAACAGGGAACATTATGTATGATCGGTTCTTTGTGCAAAGATGGAAAGTTAGCGCTGTGGCTTCTGGTCACTCACTGCAACTTGACCTTTTCCGGTGACTTTTCCGATGCTCCTTAAAGCAGGCTCATCCCCTATTTTGTACCCCTCCTGTGGCCCTTCGTTCTTCCCTCTGGCACCGTCTGTCTTGTTTTGTCCTGGGGTGCTCCTCTCACTCTCCCCCCGTCCCTGGATTGTGAGATCCTCGGCCAGGACCATCCTGTTGTTTCTCTTTCTATCTCCATTGGTGCCTCATCAGCAGTAGGTCGATCACATTGCTGCTGTACATACCCCTCAGCGTCGTCTGTGCCTGTCAGCATACCTGTGGAGCTGAGTGTGGCTGCCTAAAAACACAAAATCGCACCGAGTTCTCACTCTAAATTTGGGATCACTAACCTGAAGTGGACCCTGAACGCTTCCAGTTATCTTCCCTGCTTCCCTCATTTTCTCACTCTCCCTTCTCAAACCGCCAACACCTCCTTCCTCCTTTTCACTCTTAGTTGATATCTTGCTTCCTATTTATTGAGAAAATAGAAGGAATCAGAATATGACGTCACCAGCCCCCAGCACCAGGACTCCCACCTCCCTGTGGCCTTGGAGCAGGGTGGCGACAGCATAGATCAGTTCCCAGGGCTGTCCTGTAGGCCCTCGCGGCCAGCAAGGGGTGAGGGAGGGCTGCAGCCCAGAGCAGAAGCAGGACCAAGTGTCCCCAGAGGGCATGTGAGCCCTGCCCATCCTGATGGATGAGCGGCTCTGCTCCCAAGGCCGACCTCTCTGCTTGAGCCTTAGGTCCCATCCCCTCACCTGTTCACCTGCTTTCTTTTCTGGGTGGGACCATTCCCATCACCATAAAAAACATGCTGTGATTTCTCTTATTTAAACCAAACCAAGTGAAACCTGTTTTGACTCCATTCCTCTGTAGCCAGTGCGCCATCTTCTTTTTCCCATTGGAGGAAACTCTGTCAGAGTTTCTCTCCTTCCACATCCCATGAGGCCTCGCCTCCACCGGATGGGCTCTGCTGTGATGAGCCCAGCGGTTAATTTCAGCCGTCTTCTTCCTGCTCTGTCATCTTGCCACCTTCTTGTTGTCTGCAAAGACTGCCAGGACACTCCCCCCACCTTACACACTCATACACACTTACACACTTTATTTTCTTTTCCTTCTCAGTCTCCTTTGCAGACTCTTCTTCATCTCCCTGACATCACAGCATTGACACTTGTGTGGGTTGGATTTTGTCCCCCCAAAAAGATACGTTGAGGTCCCAGAACCTATGAATGTGACCTTATTTAGAAATTGGGTCTTTGCAGGTATAATCAAGTTGAGATGAGGTCATTAGGCTGGGCCCTAATCCAGTGTGATTGGTGTCCCTATAAAAAGAGGACAACAGACGCAGACACACGGAGGGGAGAAGGCCATGTGACATGATGGTGGCCAGGGAGCGCGAAGGATTGCTGGCAACACCAGAAGCTAGGAGGGAGGCCTAGGCAGATTCTCCCCGAGAGCCTTCAGAGGGAGCGTGGCCCTGCCAACATCTCTTCAGACTTCTGGCCTCCAGAATTGTGTGAGAATAAATTTCTGTTATTCTAAGCCACCTGCTTTGTGGCACTTTGTTATGGCTGCCTACGAAATCAGCACAACCTCTCTTTTCATCTATAGTCACTCCCTTGTTGCTCTTCTCCTGGCTTCAAATTATCAGCTGTAGTCTGGCGACGTCCATGGCATGGACTTCTCCCCAAAACTCCTCGCTCACGTGTCCTGCTCTCTATTTGTTGCTTTGGTGGATTTCTAATTGATTTCTCCAGCGTGACGTGCCCAGAGCTGAACAGTGCTGTTCCTTTCCAAACCTGCTCCTCCCATGGTATTTCCAACAGCAGCTCCATCCTTCCAGGTGCTTAGGCTAGAAATCTTGGGCTCATTTTTGACTCCCCATTTCCTCTAATGTCCCAAATATAATCTGTCAGCACATCTTGTAGCCTCTGCTTCAGAGTTCAGTCATGCACCGCGTAATGACTTTCAGTCAAGGATGGACCACATACATAACGGCGGTCCCATAAGATTAGTACCATATGGCCTAGGTGTGTGGTAGGCTATCCCATCTAGGTTTGTGTAAAAGCATCACTCTATGATGTTTGCCCAACGGTGAAGTCACCCGAGGATGCATTTCTCAGAACGTATCCCCATCCTTAAGCTCCGTGTGACTGCACGTTCAGAATCCCATCCCTTCTCACCGTGCCCACTGTCACACCAGTCCAGGCATTAACACCTTGCTTCTGGGTGATTTAAGTGGCTTCATAACTGGTCTCTGCTTCCTCCGGTGTGCTGCCCTGCAGTCTGCTCTCGGTACTGCCCTCAGGGTGGAGTGATCCCACGGAGTCGGGTCACCTCACTCTCCTCCTCAGAACCCTCCAGGGCTCCCCATCACTCCCAGAGTGAAAGCCTCAGTCCTCGCTGTAGGCTCCAAGTTCCTACACTGTGTGGGCACCACTTCCCCCACCACCTCTCTGCCCGCGTCGCTCCTTGTCCTCCTCCTGGCTCGCTCCGCGGTCCTGACACTTCTCTCATCTTGCTCCCTTGGAGCCTCAGCACTTGCTCTCCCTGGAGCCCCTCTGAATAAATAAATCTAAGTGATATGTTTCTATCAGTTATATCTTAGCACCCCCCCGGCTCCCCTCCAGATCTTTCCTTAAATGTCACCTTCTCAGAAAGGTCTTCATCTACCTGAAAGGTCTTGCTTCCCAAACTTCTTTTCTCTCTTCTCTGCTTAGTTTTTTCTCCTTGGCACTTGGGTCTGTCTAACAGTCTATGTCTTGTGCTTATGGATTTTTTTATTATCTGCCTCCCTAACTAGATATAAACCTTTTGAGGATGGAGGCTTTGGCCCTTTTGCTCACTGCTGAATCCTCAGAGGCCATAAGAATGTCTGCCGTATGGTAGGCATCCCGTAATACCTGTTACATGAATAGATTACCAAAATATTTTAATTGAATCTCTTGTTTTTATGATAGTGTTTATTTTACCATTTTTAATGGTTTTTTTCCCCCCAACTTTTAATTACGACAGTTTTCAAACATGGAGAAGAATAGAGAGACTAGCGTAATAAATACGCCAAATGCCCGTTGAGTAAATTTAATGATTATTAGCACTTTGCCTTATTTGCTCCATCTGTTTTGGGAATAAATGATAGATATCATGACATATATACATTTCCAACATTAAGGACGTTTTCCTATGCCTCCACAGTACCTCTTTCACGCCTACGGAAACTGACTAATTCATTTTGTTGTCTAATATATGCTGTCCATATTCATATTTCCTAATTCTCTCAAAATGTCTTTTCCAGCGAATTTGTTCAAACCAGAATCCAATAAAGGGCCATTCCTTGTATTTGATGCTCTCTCTTAAGTCCCTTCTCATCTAGACCGGCCCAACGCCCCCTCCCCCGACCCCGCCCCAATCTGGCTTTTTCCTCTGTGACCTTGTCTTTGTGAAGATTCCTGTCCTGTAAAATGTCTCACCTTCGGGATTTCTTTTAATTGCTTCCTTCTGAAGTCATTTAACTTGTTCCTCTATCCTCTCTATTTCCTGCAAATTGGAAGTGATTTTTAAAGGTTCATTAATTGAAGTTAGTTGAATGAAATTTCATCTTTGAAGCTGCTTCTCTGTAGCCACATGGAGCTTTGGGACATTCATACCCCTGATGTTAACTGAGGGACATGTTTTCTCTATTGAAAGGCCTGGCGTTTGCACGAAGGTGGCTAGGAGCCTGGATCTCTATTTGCTGTGACTGAAAGATGTCAATACATTCTATGCTTGGGATGATGACTCCCCTAACCCTGCAGGTCCCTGATGCCCCACTCCAGAGGGAGGCCTCTGGGCCCTCTGGGGTCTGAGAGGAAGTTGCACCCTCGGGTAGAGTAGAGACCTCTGTTCTGGGTTACAAAGGTTTCTGCCTTCCCCTCCCTGGACCTACATTTGGGGCAAAAAGAAAGTAGCTTTTGCGTACCCCGTTATTTTCCCTGTGTGAAAATTCTCCATCCCTGTTGGTGACCCGTCAGGCTGGTGGTGTTCAACTTGTCTGCAGGATAAGGCCGAGACTGAATGCTCTGTTATCTTATAATAGATAAGATTTGCTTTATGTTCTGTGACTTCTTTCACCTAGGGTCCCTCTCCCAGATAGGATAATGAATTTCCGTGTGAGGTGAAAGTATAAAGCTATAAGTTTTCTGTGAAATGCACAGAGGACTAGCAAATTACTCATGAACTAGAGCTGGAGGAAGATTTCAAGAATTTAGGATATAATATAGAATAGAAAGTATAATAATGAATTGTACTTATTTCCCTGGATCCTGGGTTATGAACAGTATTTTTTTTTATAGTATAAGCATACTTCATATGTTTATTGTCTATTGTATAATAGTTTAAATGTATGGAATATGTTAATCTAGCTTTTATTGGTCATGAATTAGGAAGTACTTGTATTACCAAAATGATATTTTAAGAAAAGTTACCGTCATCTAATGTAATGCCGAATTATGACCTTTCCATTTCTTTCTTTGTGACACAGGAAATCCGGGATCCTCTTATGCAGTGGCTGGGGAAACGTGTGGATCCTGAAGGAGTAATACAATCCAGCAAGGTCTCCCTTAAGTTTGTTTCATCATACACATCTGAAATAGAGATCACCCCCGCTGCTATACCTGTGGTGACTGACGTGGAGGCCTTCTCATCAGAAAACTTTAACTTAGACATCTACCGACAAAATTTGCAGACAAAGCAACTTGGAAAAGTAATTCTGTTTGCTGAAGTGACACCCACCACGATGAGTCTTCTGGACGGGTAAGTTCTCCCTCTGCTTAGAGGAATCCAGTTGTGTTTGTAGTTCTCTCCAACCAGTGCAAGGGGAGAAGGGATAGAGATACAGAACAAGAGTCTTAATAAACCCATTGGCAAGGTGGGAGTACCCCTGTCCCAGAAGAGTTAAAATGTTGGAAGTGAAATTAAAGTTCTTTGATCAAAGGTTTGTGTTTTAAAGAATGGGGGATTTTTGTGTTTTGCGACTCTTTGCCTTTAATGAGGCCTTTCAGAATGTCCATGGAAAAAAGAACATTATGAAAAAACATGTTTAACAGGTGGCATTATTGTTCAAGTTATCATTTTACTTTGGTGTTGTTATAATCAGTGTTAAACATTTAGTTTAAGATATTTTGCAGGAGTGTTAGGAGAGCAAATTTGAACAACATGTAGGCTGTGTTAAATTGAAATAAATTGGAGCTTTGTATTTTGAAAATCTGTTTTGGTATGTTCCTATCCAACACATTTTTTAAGCACTCTGTAATCCCATTTGGATGTTCAAAATTTACTCTTATGGCAAGCTTTTCTTTTCATTCCTTCTGTTTTATGGACTTTGATTAAAGCTTAAAAAATGGAAAAGAGATGAAAGGAATTTTTTAACTCCCAAATTAGTCAGTGTTAATTAATACTCTTATATTATGTTGAGATAGTTAGTTTAAAAAATAGGGTTCCAGAGGGGGTGAATAAGAAAAGCATCTTTCCTCAACATCGGACTACAATTTAAGGAATGTAAGATTCTAAAACAACCCCTGGATTCACAGTTTCTAGTCATTTTCACCTGTGGGACTGCACAGTTACATGCATAACTCTACGTGATAGAAATATTTTGTCTTTTCTTCTTGATAATGATTTCTGGAATTTGATAATATGTTGATTTAAAATGATGAGATAACTTTAGGATTTTCTTGACTCATATTCAAAGTCATGGAAATGGCAGTTTTGTGTAGATAGCTTGTAGAAAAAGCATTAGATGCAGGGGAATTGGCAGAATGTAGGGGGCAGAGCAGGAAGGGGAATATGAGCCGTGGTAATGAACGGTTCTTGTTACTGAGTTATTTTGTCTTGTCACTGGTGCTTTCTTCCAATGTTCCAACCTCTCCTGCCTCCACTCCCCTCCCCCCCACAATCCCTTGATCCCTAGCAGAGGAGAAAGCCTGTTCTTGTGGATGGAACAATCATTACTTGCTTCTATGAACTCTGTGATAATCTTTTTTACTCAGTAAATACTATATTGTATCTAAAGGGTGACCCATTATAATTACATTTTCTAAATAGAAAAATCAGATACGACATTTAACAAAAGATTTTAGGGGCTGGCCCTGTGGCTGAGTGGTTAAGTCCACGCGCTCCGCTGCAGGCAGCCCAGTGTTTTGTTGGTTCGAATCCTGGGCACGGACATGGCACTGCTCATTGAGCCACGCTGAGGCGGCATCCCACATGCCACAACTAGAAGGACCCACAATGAAGAATATACAACTATGTACTGGGGGGCTTTGGGGAGAAAAAGGAAAAAAATAAAAAAAAAAAATCTTAAAAAAAAAAAAAAGATTCTGGGAGGTAAAATTCAGATAGGAAAATACTGGCACTCCCAGACCGTTTTTGTTGTTTCTGTGGACAATAGTGAAGAATATTTTATGTCGGCATGATCTTGAAACATTGGCGTTACAGTCTCTGAGCTTGGGAAGTGGGCAGTGTGTTACCAAGAGGCTGGGAGCCCTCCAGAGTGGACGGACCGAGACTCCTGTGTTGGGTTTCCTTATACCCTGGTGAGCTAGTGTTTTAGGATGGAAAAAACTGCCATGTAAATACACTCCTTTCGTACCCTTGAATATCAGTAAGTTCCTTTTTGATATTGAACTTTTTTTAAAAAATAAAATTTCTGTCTTAAGCAACTTGGATTTTTAGAAGTATATTACAGATATTGAAGCTTTGTAGCTGAGCTTGACAATAGTGGAGTTGGAACCTTCTGTAGGATGAAAAGTTTTTATTTTTACAAAAGAGAGAATTATTTTAGCTTTTCCGAGAGCATTTAGGAGTCTTCTTTCTCATTTTGTCCAGTTTCTGCAGAGCACAGAGTGAAAGCGTTTTGACGATTAATGATTAATCCTTGTGTTTGGCACAGAGCAGATAAATGAATCAGTAGTCTTTGCTCATCTTAACTGATCCTAGATGTTCTCTTCCACTGCACACATGGGTCCCCTCCTAACGCTAGGAGATAAAGTCAGTCACCGCAGCCTAGTGAGTCGGCGAGCCTGGTGAGACGTTCCTGGGGGCTGTAGCCTTTTTTAGAAGAAGGAACTTGAGGAGGTCACCTTGATACCCAAAGGACCCAGCGTTGTCCACAAAGGGACCGTGAGATAGATAAGCGAAATATTTGGCCTATTACTTTCCAAGAGTAAGACCAAAATCATTTCTACAGCTAATATTGTGTTTGATCGTACGTGAGCTATCCTAATGGAAACACGATCTATTGTTATGGTAAAAATAACGATGGTAATAGCTAACGTGTATTGAAAGCTTTTATCTTCCGGCCACTGCTTTTATGTACTATACACGTATCAACCAATTTCATACATCATCTCTTAGTGCCTAGGATCATCACTGGAACAGAGTCAGGCTCTAGTGTCACACCGCTGTGTAGACTGGTAGATCACAGTATTTTCCGTATCTGAAATTGTTCCAATTTCTGAATGTTTATAATAATTATATGGTACATCACATCAATGGGTCAACTAGGCAGGGCAAGAAGAATTTCCAAAACCTAATGGACTGGTGTAGAAGTGAAATTTAAATTAAATGTAGATCTTTATTGTAAGGTTTCTAAAATCTTTTTTCTCTGTCTCCCTGGGACTTGTAGTGGCTAAAAATTGGGAGTTCTCTTCCTAAGAAAGGAAGGGAAAGTAACATGGGGAGGAACAATCTTCAGTTTCTGCCACAGTGGTAAATATCCACGTTGCATCTTTCTTCTCCATATAAGACGCTCACCCCCTCCTCCAGGAAGACAGCCTAATATCCTATTCATTTACTTCCGCTCGATTGGCTTCAGGATCTCTGGGGATGTACAGCTTTCTCTCTCAGGGCTGGACGTGGCTCGTTGAGGTCTGGCAATCTCTTAGTTAAAACAGACACGCTCTCTGCCTCCGTGAACCGTGCTGCTGTGGTTGAAATGGGGACCATGGAATAGCCCTGGGCAGGGAGCGGAAGGACTCCTGGGCCTGGCAGTAAGTAAGTGCCCTGGTCACACACCTGGCAGCCTGGGTTACCCTCTCCCGGAGGAGCTCTTTTGCCTGGTGTCCCTTGGGGTCCTGGCTTTGCCTTTTGGGAGGGTCTTGACTGTACCACATCTGAGATGGGCATCAGAGAGGATGGGCATTTTCCGTCCGCTCCCTGTGAGGGTTTGCAGTCTGCCTCTTGTTTTGGGGGTGAACTCTCATGGCCTTTTGTAGGTCAGCCTCACGGTTTCTATGGAGATAGAAGTCTCTCAAAGCTTTAGTTGGCCTCTAGCCTGTTTGCTTCTGATGGTTCCATGGGAATAACCATTGAAGATCCTGTCTGGAGAATTTTTCCACCTAAAACTCTGGTCTTTTAAAGGCCTTGTTGCTCTGCCCATCCTCTTCTCTCCCAATTTGACGGCGGCTCCCTTGGGCCAAATGAAACAGTGGGCTTGGGTGAAAGGCCTGGCCCTTAATCTCATCTTTGGCACAAGGCTCCTGGGCTGTCTATGCTGAAGCATCTGTCTAATGGCCTGGGGGGCTGCAGGGTCAGTCCCCCAGGCTCCAGCTTAGATTGCTGGTTGCCCACAGAGAGCCCATCTCATCAAATGTGTATTCTTTTCCACTTTCTTGAGACTAGATAGTTCTAGTGGTTAGCATTCTTTCCATGAAGAGTGTCAAGAAGGACTGACAAATACTGATATTTTGAATTATCAGAGCTATTTCCTATAATGATACAACTTCTAGTGGACACATGGTCTACCTCCCAAGCTACAGAAAGCCAGGCCTCCATCGGGCTAAAGTTTGCCTTCATCATTCATGGAATAAGCATTTATGGAGTGCCTCCTGTATGCCAGCTACTGTGTTAGGAACTGGAGAGATAACGAAGGAGAAGGTACTGTCCTTGCCTTACGACATGTTGGAAGGAGCAGATCCCAGGGCATGTTCCGTTCATACAGTTCTGTGCACCCTTCTTGGTCTGAGCGCTGGGAGTTCGGGCAGAAAGGAGAAGTGGGTGCAGTAGATCACATGTTGCAGGGAGAGGGATAGACTGGTCAGTGAGTTCTTTTTTTGAGCACTTACTGTGTGTCTGGCATCGTTCTTGATGCCATAAAACTCCCAGTCTGGTAGGGAAAAGGCTGGAACTGAAGTCTTGATCACCACCCAGATGTGTAACCTTGGCCATATCAATACTTGCCGACGCCCTGCTTTCTTCAGCTGTGACATCTGGGGCTCTAGACCTTCCGAGGCACCTTCAGCTCAAGTCCTTTGATCGAGTGATCAGAATCTTACACCCAGCCAGCCTTTCTGTCTCTCAGCAACCTCCAAGCTTTCAGAGGGCTGAAATAGCTTTGTGAATTAGCCTCGCGTGAGTTGAGGAGACCTTGTGTGGGAGACAGTTGACTTTCTACAAGCACAGGGAAAGAAGAGGAAAAACAAACCCGTTAAATCGCTTTTTAAAAAATTTTGGGGGGAAATTGCACTGGGGAGACTAGCCAGCATCATTTAAGAAAGATACTATTTTTGTTTCACAATTCGGGGCCAGTTCCAGCTTTTTGCCTCTCTGTGTGCGTGTCTAGTCAGTCCCGAAAAAACACCTCTTCCCCTTTTCTTCCCTTCTGATTCTGCTCCCCTCACTCGCTCTACTGCACACCGTCCTCCCCTGAAGTCGAGGCCTGAGAGGACAGAAATTGGGCTGGAACTAATTTAATGGCTGAGTGACCTCACAGTAGAGAAACAGCCGGATCCTAATAGGGGTCTTTGTCTACATTT